TGATTGTGGATTTTTGAAATCACCGAGCTCAATGTCCAAAATCATCTTCCTTTCACCATGTTTCAGCGCTAAGATGTCAATTTCATGTTTAAGTGGAGTAAATGAGAGTGAATATATTAATCCAAGAGATCGAGCGCTAGGTAGATTAAGACAGAAGGGCGAGATTCGTGGTACTGTGGATGGGGTTCCCTCCATCATCAAGTGCTCGTATTCTTTCAAGCATTCAACCGAGACTGGCCTGTGCAAGATTCACCTTGTCTGGCATGCACACTTATTTTACCAAGCTGCCATGGGGCCCTCACAATCACAGGAGAGCTGTCCCCAGTCAATAAATTATAAAGAATATGATATTTAGAACATTGGAAATAAACTGCCTCCCTTATACAAGTAACTGCAGTAAATTCCAACCGTTTTCTGGTAACATACTGCTAGCCCAGCAAGAACACAGTGTGCACATTATTCGACAGGGAATTTCAACCTGAAAATTTCAAAATGTTTAGGACAGTGTAATTTAGGATCAGTTTATGCCCGAATTTTTACGAGGAAGTATTACCAAGTCCGGGTTTATTTTACCAAGACAAAACTACTGAATAAAATGCCGACGAGTTTCTGCTTCTAGAAGTTAGCTGGTTCCCCATAACACGGTTAGTATTCAAATACAGAATAATCGATGACCCTCATCGTGAAATCCACACACGGTTCCTGATGTGGACGGCATCTGCGTGCGGAACTGCTGCAGCCACTTGTCTTCATACATTGTACACATCGTCATATGTGTTTTGATTCCCCAAGTAGAAATGCTACATTAAGAGATATTTAAAATCAATTCAAGATACCAGACAAATCGAAACATACAATCCTAGTGAAATGTACGCAAAATTTCACCCGCAAACAAAAGGCTACTCTTTGAAGTTCATGAACAGTGAACTGTAGCTTTGAAGCAGATGTGACAGTAATGACTTAGTATTTGCAACACATCCATGTTTCTAGTGTTTAATTTTGCCTTTGACAGCTTTGTCAAGCTCCGCTTATTCAAACATTATGCGAATCGGATCCCAGCTTTCGTTGCACGATCGTACGTCGCTTACCGCAGGCATAGTAAGCAACTTCTCATTCGGTTCAGTTGCTGCGTTAGCACTACCTTTGAATGCTTTACCATAACTATTTTCCGCTTGTGTACGCGGGCGTCAGCCTCGCGAAAAGTACAACCACCAAGGCTGTTGAGACAGCCAAAACTCCCCGGGAGTTGAGGCCTTCGTCACCGAATTGAACGAGACTGGCTACAACTGATTGATCACAGTTCCACCAACTGCGTTTTGGTACGACAGAAACCTGGATATAAACTGTAGTGCACCGTTCAGAAAAGTTTGAATTCTTCCCATTCCGGTCTGTTCGGTGATTGTCATTATAACGATCAGCTAAAACATTTGTGAAACTATCAGGAAGGTCATATTCCTGAAAGCAACCACAGAAGGCCCGGAATCTACCGAGACCCTCAATTACACTGGATGCCGTCCAGACTGCCCTGAATCAAAGCCAGACAACGCGAGATACGGTTGGATCAAGGTCAGGCAACGCCCCCTCAATATGTAGCGTGAGACGGGTGTACTTTCACACCCACTCGCTTGTTCGCATTAAAGCCGTTGTGTCCTTTGTCGGCGAGTCTTTTCACCGGCACTAGGCGCCGAGCGGCACAGCAGACAGATATAACAGAAACTAAGCCAATGACTCGTCGAATTTTAGTCGAAAACTTCTGGTCCTAACTACTTTTACCAATCTTTTGGAGTAAGGGAATGATTCTCATAACACTTCGGATGGGCTTAAAATTCGCTATCCGAAAAAGAACGTACTTGCTCTCTGTTATATGGGATCTTCAAGTTATGTACCGAATAGTGTTGCAATCAAGTTGAACAAACTTAGTTGACTAGTGCAGACGCGGACACAGTACAAACATCCTAGAATGCCGACAGCACAACAGCGGTGTTCAAGGCGGTGTTTGGCTGTCATTAAAAGATGACTATCAATGAGTATCCAGTCAAGCAAGGATCTTTCCACCTGGTAACTCAGCCAGATGCCAGTCACTGTGCATCCAGCTGCAGTGGCCTCCGGAGTCGATTAAACAGTGATGAGGCAGGTAGCTCAAACACTGCTTGCATTTTGAATTGTTCTTTCCGCTAACTAGCATCGGGTCCAGCGTGAGAACAACAGCAGCTTGTTGTCCTGCTTGCTCCACAATGCAGACAGTGAAAGCCGCCAAATATACCGAGCATCGAAGCAGTGTAAGATGAACGAGGTCGTCAGTCTTAAGGGATGGGCCTAGAAGGGGACTGTTACCAGTGGGGTAGAGAGAAGGGGAGATGAAGAGAAAAGAGGAAGGCGTCGGCAGCAGTCTGTTTTCGCTTACACGTCCTGCTGTATGCATATGCGATCAGGCAGATAACACTCCGCGAAGACCTTTGCGGCATGACTGTGTTTTTAGTTGCAGAGAACAAGGTTGTACTCAGCCTGGAATACTGCCAGAGCTCAGACTTAGCCCAGACTATCCAGGCATAGACAGGAGGAGGATTAGGACCAAAGATTTTGACTCGAAACCCTGATCTGGAGTGAAATTTGGTACATTATATTGTCTTAAAAACAAGTCGCCACACTTCCCACTCCCAATCTGATCAGACCTCTCACCTGGCGTGAGACCCTGGGAGCGTCTTACGAACATCCTTAGCCCGTATAGCTCAGTGGAACAAGGTGACATACAGACCGTCACACTATGGTAAAAGCCCGTCTCTTCCAGAAGGACATTTCAGAGTAGATAGAGCATTCATTTTTTTCACGTTTTTGCATTTGAATTTTTCTACTACAGAGTAAATAGATATGAAGTCTTTCTGGCAGCAGTTCTATTGTATCAAGGCAATCAGTGGTGAATTATGGTCTGTTGTGAATTATTTGGATTCGAGCCAAAACTCTGGTGCAAGTGTTATCCGGATGGTGACTGGATGTACGCACAGTGGCTTAATGATGATGAACAACACAATGCAAGCGTCACAGTTGCCTGCAATGCGCGCACAAAGAAACATCTGTCTCAACCCCAGAGACTCAATATAAGTAACGGCAGTCAGAATTTCTAAGTAAAATGAATGTTGCAAACCGACTGCCTATTGGGATACTCACTCCCTCACATGAAACCACTTTTCCATACATTCATCGTCGTGAGGACAGGCAATCAAGCCCAAGTTGCCGCAGTTCTATTGCGGAATCGCGGCGTTGGTGTGTCGGATCGTAACAGCAACGATAAAAGCTGGCACCTAACTGTCTCCGCCATCCTTGTGGCCTTGACGCAGAGCCACGCTAAAAACAATTGAATGGAATAGGGCACTGCAGTGTTGGGCACAACTTTGCTCCTCCAGTAACCATGCCAATTCCATGACCGGCCTATCGGCTAACACAAGCCTTTTCTGTCGTGTCGGCAATTGGGCCGCGGCAACGCAACAGCGCAGCATGAAACGCTCACGAAAGGTAGGCCTGAACAAGCCCGTATTTCTCACATCAGGTGTCTCAACCCAGGTAGTCTTACTTCATGCTTGAATTCGGTGGGTAGGGCATAGGACCAGATCCGGTGAACCGTCCCATCATATTAGGTTATCCATGGTTGAACTGCGGATGCTAGTACATGTTTTCGGTTCAGGACGATGTACACAGGATTGGACAATCCGTCAGTCCACAAAAAAATCATCCGTATGGTAGCGCGTAGCACGCTACGCACTACTACGCTCCACAATAACGCACTGATGATGTCACCTCGATTGGTGATGAAACGTTTGCAA